GATCTGCCTCCACGGCAGATACGACACTACCGGATCCAAGCGTCGTCCTTCGGAAGTCTCGGGGGCCGACGGAGGAGGGCTCCTAGGTAGAGCGACGGGCGCCCTTGCGGCCGAGGGACGGTCCGGTCCCCGTTTCCTTGTCCGCGGGATGGTGGAGGTCGTCGTTCGACGGCGGCGCGAATCTCGCCCGGGTGGGCAGCGGCTAAGGAGGCAGAGGCCCTGGCGGATGCTTCGGATCGAAAGGCCGGGACTCCCGCTTCCTTTCGATCGCGAAGAGCTGAGCTCGCTCTGTCCGGTGGGTACTGTTGCCTCAAAATACTCTCAGAGTGATGGCCTGGTCAAGCTGACACCACTCCGAGAGCAGAAGAACGTGCTGGAGACCACCCACGGAGCCCTAGATATAGCGGGCGTGGGTGAATCTTAATTACGAAAATTTGCCGTGGCGCCTGCGGCACCTAGCGGTGGCGCCGCGCACTACTCTTGTCTCGTGGCGGGCGCGCGCGGGCCCGGCGCGCGGGCCAGGCGCGCATGCCGTAACGTAAGCGTACCGCCACAATATTTATAAAAAATATATATTTTTCTTTTTAATAACTTTATTGATCTCATGGAAGTTAGAAATAATAGGAGGGAGCGTAAGGCCTTTTGATGGTGGGGGTTACTACGCCAAATGTAATTGGTTGGCCACAGTAATATGGCGTTTTGTACTTTATTGATGTACTCTCTGCATTATATTTTGCACTTTTTCCTGTTATCTAACCTAAATCATCTGAATCAAATGTTTGGTGAACAAATCGGGTTTGCAATTTGCATACTTTTTTGTAAGTCATAAAAGCTGTAACAATATTAAAAACAAAATGCCCATGCGTTGCAGTGCAACAAATTGTAAAAGCAGTGTAAATAATAAGAAGAAAACTATAGACATAAAGTCAGGAGCAATAAAAAAATAACATTTCACGGGTAAGTACAAATATAACCTTACGTTCTAAATATTAGCATAAATTAAATAAATCTTTGTCCCGCTCCTCTGTTATCGTAGGCTTGTTAGGCAAAAAACCATAAGTAAATATATCGTTTGTTATAGATTTCCTAGCAATCCAGATAGAAGAGCAAAATGGATAGAGATCATGAAATTGCAAAAAAAGAATCTTAGTCCAAGTAGTCAGCTTTGTTCTTTGCACTTTGAAGAAAAATTTATTGATCGCACATCTGTAGCATGAGATTGAAAGAAAATATTATTCCTCATGTAAATATTTTATAAATATAAAATTAAAGTATATTAATAAAAAAGAGAGAGAGAATCTGTAAATGAATTAATAATATATATTGAAATTGATAATGTAGAAGAAAATATGTAATGAATAAATGTTTATAGATACCTGAAAATATATATAGCGAGAAAAAACATGAAGCAACGAATAGATTATCTTCGCAATCGCTTAAAAATATACAGATTGATAAGCAGCACACATTGTTTACATGTAAGTAATAAATGAAAACTGCGAATAATAAACAAATAACTTTTATTTAAAGCAATAATAATATATATTATGTGATATTTATATTTATGTAATAGATTCTGTAAGTGACAAAGAAGCGTCTTCCTCCTTATTGCAAGAAACAAGATCATTTGATAAAGAAAACACGAATATATTGCCAGAAATTATTTGTAATTCGCCGAAAAGTACAAGAAACAAAACCTTGTGTAATGAAATTGAAATGTTGCGCAAACGTGTAGAAGTTTTACAGAGAAAAATAAAACAAAAAAATAAACGAATTTCTGCTTTAAGCAATATTTCAAGGAAAGAAACAAATGCTAAAAGTAAATTAATATTATTTAAACATTTATATTTTATATATTTTTAAATAAATTTTTTGTGTGCATTACGTAAGTAATTTTTATATTGCAGGTTCAGTATGTAACAAAGCAATTAATACATCGCCTTCTTTATTACACACCATGAAAAAATCAACAGAGGACAAAGAAACGAGTATTTCACCAAAAAAATTATGGAACTCTCCAACAAAACATGCAATTAGAGAAGAAAATAAGAAACAAGTGGA